GAGAGATTAAACCTAACTATTTATTACTATCTGATATTTATATAAAGGAGACTGTGGATGAATATTTTAAAAAAGAAAAGAAAACACTGATGGGAGCAAAAAGAGAAAACAAACTTAAGAATAGCAGCGTGGAGTTTTAAAACAACAACAACAAAAACTTCAACAAATGCCAGAAGTGTTTCCAACTGCACGTATTTAGGATACCCTGGTCTCAATGTACTCTATGACCCCTTCTGAAGAATCATACAAATAACAAGAGGCCCAAAATACATTATTAACTGGTACCTATGGATCTCTCCTCCCATAAAGTGATACGAGCAACACCCCCAAGGTGGATAGAAACAAAAATGCCTCTTGGAGATGTACTTTGGGACTACAGATAGTGGAAGTATACATAGGAAGAAGCATGGAATTCTTTTTGGGATTGATTTCCCTACAGTTTTAAAGTATGTTTTCTTCCTATATCATTATCAGAGTTAGAATACTTAAAATAGAATTGGTGGCAAATGTGGGTGTCAAGGCCGGGTGCAATGACTCATGCCTGTAATTCCAACACTTTGGGAGGCCAAGTCGGGTGGATTATCTGAGGTCAGGAGTTCGAGACCAGCGTGACCAACATGGGAAATCCTGTCTCTACTAAATACAAAAAATTAGCCTAGCTACTTGGGAGGCTGAGGCAGAAGAATCGCTTGAACCCAGGAGGTGGAAGTTGCAGTGAGCCAAGATTGTGCCATTGCACTCCAGCCCGAACAACAAGAGCAAAACTCCATCTCAAAAAAAAATTAAAAAAAAAAAAAAGTGAGTGTCAAAAGGGAGTTCTATCCATAATGAAATTATTAACCCAAAGGAAGTCTCAGTGCTAATGGTCCCTCATCACCATGATATTTCTATAGATCTGAGTCAGTTACATATTATTTATGTCAAAAGTACTAACAGATTAAAAAGGGAGGGAGGTGGAGAAAAAGAAAAAGACAAGGCTTCGGTAAAGTCCACGTGTGCTGGTCTAGCCATACAGTCATGTGGTTTCTCCTGGGCTCTTCCCGAAGGGCATGTCCTCACAAACCTTCTATGAGCTCAGTCAGGAGGGGGAGACAGGCAGGAGCCACGTGAAACAGCAGGGCCAAGGGTATTACCCTGGAGTCAGCAAACACAGCCACGGAGCACAGACACGACAAAGATTCCACAGGGAAAAACCACCAAGGGCAAAAGTGGCCCAACTGCTGGGAGACCTGGTAGTTAGAGGAAAGCCTTTTTTAAACTCAGTGGAAAAGGCCCACATACAGCAGGCACCAGTATAATTACCAAAGCCACCAGGCCTGTCTGCCAAGCTGGGCTGATGTGGCCTCTTGACCAGGTTTTATTCTTGGCGGCTGCTGCACTCTTCTCCCTCTGCTCTTCCTGCTCCTGCTACTAAATAAACTAGCAGATGCTGGCTTCATGTACTACAAACCCTGAGCTATCTATCTTCTCGTTTGTTTTGGCATCTACTTCAAATGGTAAAGCATCTGTGAAACGGACCAAAGCACTCCAAAAATCTACTTCAGGGTCATTCTCAAGAATTTATTTCTACATTTTCAAAGACCATTTTGAATTTCCCTATCAAAGATATAACAAGCGTGATCCACACACGATCACCAAGTCATTTTTGTTATTTGTCTTCTACTAGGCAAATACATATCATTGTTCAAATACCAGCGCAGGAGAGAAATCACAGTGTTCTTTTAGTTCTATACTGAATTTCATCCACTCCCATTTCTCTTCGTTCTCTGTGCTACCTTACTCACTTGTGGCTTCATCACCAGCTGTGTGTCAGCAACTCCCAAATTACTATCTCCATCTCAGACTTCTCTGATCAAACCCAGACCCGGATATCCAAAGACCTAATGGACATTTCAAAAACGAACTACTTAAAACCGAACTCCTCATCTTCCTCTTGCCAAAGTATTTCAGTACCCACTGCTTTCTCCTAACTCACATTTTGAGTCATCCTTGACTTCTCTCCTTTCTTCGGCCTCCCATCTTGTCGATAAAGCTATCATGCCTGAGCTACGCTCTATTAAACAAGAAAAGATAGACTTCTGTCTGATTTAAGTGTGCTTTCTATCTCTCTCTTCCAGATTCCAGCAAGTATTGCTGCACGTGTCAGTCTGCACTCACTGTGTGAGGTTGGCAAATGCCCTGTTCATTCTCTCAGCTCTTCCTCCAGGGCGTGTTCCCATACCCCAATTTCAAAAGCACTAGAGTGCATTGAACAGGATTGGTTTCTTTGTATCTTTGGGTGGGGGACAGTCATTCAAGAACCTAAAAGAGAAGTTCTCATTTCACAGCAGCAGCATCTCCAAGGAAAATTCTTCCAGAATGAAACACCACCACATTTCATAAAACAACACAAAAGGAATGAAACAAGTCTGTTAAACAGTAACGAGCTACAATGCCAGAACTAACCTGGAGACTTAAAAGACAAAGTTGTGGTAGGAAGAATACCAAAAAAGGTGGGAATGGGAAAAGTCCACTCACTGATCCAGTTACCCTCTGTAATTACAGACACCCAGACACCCTCACATCTTTCATTCAACATTAATATATTTTCAGCCTGTCCTCAAACTGTTGAAGTACAGCTCAGATGGAAGTATTTTAGAAAGATGCATTTCCTTAACTTTGACTTTTCAACGCAACTCCAAGTAGAATTTTCAAAGAATAAAATGTCTAATTAGGAAGAACAGGCTTACAGTTTCAGCTCAGTTCAACTTTGTTGAGAAAATATTTCAGTCAATAGCTCAATGGAATGAGGTCCTTTTCTTTCCTATCTTTGGAGAGCAGCGTCACCATTTCTAGGACTGACCCCACACGAGGAGTGTTGACTGTAAACTTTCAGGGTATCACTCGACAACCCAGAAACTGGTGGCAGCTGGAAGGACAGAGGTCATGTGTGCTGCTTTCTATAATAAAATTCTTTTTACCCCGGGTTAAGTTGATTACTCAAACTCTCAAACTCCTCCTCCTCCCCACTCCAGCCTACTCGCATTTTCCCTAGGCTGATTGACTCTAGGAAAACAAGTATTGCATTATGCTTGACTGTTTGGAATGAGATCAGTTCTCATTTCAAATTCCCTTTCAGAACAACCCCAAGGCCACAGACCCTGTAAAAATCCCAGATGCCCAACAACTCAGGAAGGCCTAAGCTATGACAAGAAAACATTACTTAAGTAATAATCAGCAAATGCATCCTAAACCCGGACTGGCATCCTCTGAGGTCTCTTCCAAGGCATTTGGCAGGAACATGTCTGTAAACCACCCAGTCTCACTCTCGGCTCCTCCTCCGAGGCAGAATGGCCAAGGCGGAGGCTTTAGTGCACTGTTCGGCAGTGATTTTCTCCAACTGGCACCATCTGTGCACGCCCTGCCAGACTTGCTGACAGAGCAGGCTGCACAGACCATTACTAATCTCCCAGGGTCAGCTGGGTCAGGCCTGCAACAGGATGCCTATAGATTTCAAAGGCCAGTGTTCTCTCCGTGCCAGCTAATCGATCTATGTTGGAAAGCAAGCACATTTTTATTCCACCTTCTTTTAAATTTCAAAGAAAAATCTCAATTTTAAAGCTCTTCGTGTGGGAACTGCTTGCATGTAATCAGTGTCCTGATACCAGTTATGTTATATGAGATCTTAGGAGGATGGGGCTTACCCATTGATCCTTTGCCAAGATTCGGTAGTAAGGCCAGGAAGACAACTTCGCTCAGACAACAAAAGGCCTTCTAAATAGCACCACTGGGGATGGACTACATGGATCAAGATTCAGACTCAACTGCAAAGTCCTCTTAGCTGAGTCTGCAAAAGAAGAATAAATGCTATCCTACCAGGATCTTATCATGTGAGCCCAGGCAGTGTCAGCCGGGACTGGTAAATAAAATCTCAGCATCATTCACCATCTACTTCAGAATTCATCTGCAAATGCTGCCACCCACTACCAACTGCCTATCAAGTGTTTACTAAATGTAAATTGTGCGCCAAGAGTTTGATATTCCCTCAAACTTCTGTAGTTTCTTTTGCTGAGGAATGGGGTAACTGAGTCTAGTACTCAGCCATATAGCAGGCTAGATAAATCCAAAAGCCCCTTGAAGGCGGGATCATAATGATCCTGTTTCAAGGTGCTACCACTTAGCACAGACTTTTTCAGGCTTGTTGCAGTAATTCTATTAAAAACCCTTTTAGATAATTATATAAATACAATTAGGAGGAGGCAGTATCAAGATCAATTACTGTAATCATTTCTTTATAGATGATATGTTATTCTAGATCTTCAAGTCAAACAATGACTCAATCTGATAGAGTAGAAAAACTAACAGCCACAAAACTAAGACATTACTACCAGCTCCAAAGAGACCAGATCTTTTGTTTACAATAATTAAAGGTTTAAAGAAATTTCGAGATAAGTGACTTCATCTTCTTACTCTTGCTTAGATATCAGTTTCTACACTTAACCAAACCCTAACAGAGTTTACATGGGGCTAAAGGGGTGATAGTAAAGAGGAATTTGTGAGCTGAAACATAATTAATAATTCCTCTAACCCAGATCATCTTCCTTGTAAAACGATGGGTTTGTTAAGAAGCAAGCTGAGAGGTTCACAGATCTGACATGGCCACTCAGGCATAATTGGAGAAGCAGGTTTGTGTGAGTTCTCATTGAGTAATTTCTTCTTCCAATTTTTTTCGAGCTTCAGGCAACCAGAGAAAACTCCAGGCTAACTTGGTTCCTAACATGTCTATTCTTCCCAACTCCTCCCTTTGCAAAGGAGTCCCTGTATTGTCTAAAAATAAGTCACGCAATCACTCGGATCCCCTCCAACTATTTCGTATCAAAGAATCACTGCCATGTCTACAGCAGACAGTTTCTCAGCCTTTAGATTTCCTATCTAGATAGCACAAAACAAACTGAACACATAAAACAAACGGGAACATTTATAATGAGATCATGTTTCACATCTACCATGCCTCAACTCACCCTTCCCAAGACATCAGGTGCACTGAAGAAGATCTCATTCCATTCAACTTACAGAAGGCACACCTTCACAGTCCAGGATGATGTGTGTTGGTCTTTCAGAATTAACACTTTTGACTAGACCTAACTTCACACCTTTGGCTTTTAATGTAAGGTTTTATGATGTCTTTCCTCCACATCCAGTCCCAATTCCTTCTGAGTGTCTCTGTGATTCTAGACAACAACATCTACTTTTTTAAACAAAGACTTCCCAGCATTCAACTTCATTTCTGTCTGTTTGATTCCGCTAGAGAAAAAGAGATAAGAATCTAGACACAGGCTTTCATAGTGTTTTACCTGTAACTTGTCTAAACCACCAACTGACAAATACAGGCTCTGCCATTAAGCACCCCGTGTACCTATGGTGTAGAAATAATTGCACAGACCTGTGCCTCTAGCATCACTTCCAGCATGGAAGCAGCAAGGAGAATGATCAGAAGGCAGGATGCCTAGATGATAGAATGATAAATCCTCGAGAAGCCTAGAAATATCAAGTCCAAGCAAGTATCATGGCAAAAATATGCCTATGGAACTCATAGAAAAAGGCCTAAACAACAAAGTTCTAAGTGGAGACAGTAAAAAAAAACCCCATGTTTCTTAAACAGCCCAACCATCCACAAAGAGAAAATCAGGGCTGGGTATGGTGGCTCACACCTGTAATCCTAAAACTTTGGGAGGCCAAGGCGGGTGGATCACTTGAGGCCAAGGGTTTGAGACCAGCCTGGCCAACACGGTGAAACCATGTCTGTACTAAAAATACAAAAAAATTAGCCAGGCTTGGTGGTGCATGCCTGTGATCCCAGCTACTAGGGAGGCTGAGGCAGAATCACTTGAACCTGGGAGGCAGAGGTTGCAGTGAGCCAAGATGGTGCCACTGCACTACAGACTGGGAGACTGAGCGAGACTCTGTCTCAAAAAAAAAAAAAAAAAAAGAAAGAAAAAGAAAAAAGAAAATCAGGATAGATATAGGCAGACAGAAGTCCCTACTACGATTATCCTAACAAGGTACTCACAATATCTTGAATTTTGCCCATGTCTGTCTGATTTCTAAGGATTTAATGACACTTTACCAGCCTATTACTAAAAGGTAGGGTTTATGTGTTGCTTATTTTTATTCTCTTAACAATTTACCATTGCTAAGTGTGAACAGTAAAACACACACTTTAATGTTTACTCTACATTTAGAGTTTAAAACAACTTAAACCTAAAAAATCGGTATAGATGGATATAGTACAGTAAGACAGAAGGGACAAGGTTTACTGTATTCTCTGGCTTCTCTCATCAATTAGATGCTATCTGGTTTATAAAGACTCCAAAGGAAGATTCCTACAGGGGCCTCAGAAACCCAATCCAACTGAAAGACTACACTAAGAAAAGAGGCACTGTGTAGGGTTCTGAGATACTGAAAGATATTATTCCCGAATTCCCTCAGCATCCTGGGATAAACAGGAAGAAATCCTAAGGCTTCACTGCTATAGTTTTTCTCAAGGAAGAGTTTCTTACATGAGATACTGGCAAAACAGCCAATCTTCCACTGTAGGTTTTAGGGCTGGAATATAGAGATGATTCCCAGAGTTAGAGTACTGAGAATTATGTTGGTTTCTGATTAAATGTTGGTATAATATTAAAAAACCAGTTAAGAATGATCAAAGGAACCTACATAAAACACTGTGGTCACTCTTTCTTCATGTGCCATTAGCATCTGCCCAAAGGCTACCTCTGTGACAAATCCAAATGGCTTGCCCCAGGCTCTGCTTGCAGGAACCAGACTTAAATAACAGTCAAGATCTGATTTTGAGAACACCTAAGTTAAAGTGCCAAGTTTATTTAACATTTAACATATTTGTTCACTGTATAACCACCCCCTCTACAATGGTTTCATGAGATCACCACCTAATCTATAATTCTTACTCAAGGAAACCAGTTAAGAACCCTCAATGGAAGTAACCTAGGACAACTAATCACCTCCAAAAACCTCTTTGCTGTGGGAAATGGATCACAAGAGACAATGGATTGGCCAGGCACAGTGGCTTACACCTGTAATCCCAGCACTTTGGGAGTTCAAGATGAGCAGATCACTTCAGGCCAGGAGTTCGAGACCAGCCTGGCCAACATGGTGAAACCCTGTCTCTACTAAAAATATGAAAAAGGTCGGGTGTGTTGGCTCACACCTATTGTAATCCCAGCATTTCGGGAGGTTGAGGTGGGCAGATCACCTGAGGTCAGGAGTTCAAGAGCATCCTGACCAACATGGAGAAACCCCATCTCTTCTAAAAATACAAAATTACCCGGGTATGGTGGCACATACCTGTTATCCCAGCTACTGGGGAGGCTGAGGCAGGAGAATCGCTTGAACCCAGGAGGCAGAGTTTGTAGTGAGCCAAGATCACACCATTGCACCCCAGCCTGGGCAACAAGAGTGAAACTCCATCTCTTGAAGAAATTAAAAAAAAAAAAAAAAAAAAGTACAAAAAATTAGCTGGACATGGTGATGGACATCTATAATCCCAGCTACTTGGGAGGCTGAGGCAGAAGAATTGCTTGAACCTAGGAGGCAGAGGTTGCAGTGAGCCGAGATTGCACCATTGCACTTCAGCCTAGACAACACAGCAAGACTCCTTCTCAAAAAACAAACAAAAAAAAAGATAGAATGGATCATAGAGAAAGAGAACAAAGACAATCATGTAAAGACATAAAAGAGAAACAAAAATGAAAAGAAGAAGTACTCTCTCTCTCCTGGGGAGTTACATGCAAAATGTCAACTTATAAGGAGTAAAAGAATTACGCTGTTTTTTTTCCCATAAGTTAATGGGGTACAGGTATTATTTGGTTACATGAGTAAGTTCTTTAGTGGTGATTTGTGAGATTTTGATGCACGTATCACCCAAGCAGTATACACTGCACCATATTTTTAGTCTTTTATCTCTCACCCTCCTCCCACTCTTCCCCCCAATTCCCCAAAGACCTTTGTATCATTTTTATGCCTTTATGTTCTTCATGGTTTAACTCCCACATATCAGTGAGAACATAAGATGTTTGGTTTTCCATTCCTGAGTTACTTCCCTTAGAATAATAGTCTCCAGTCTCATCTAGGTCACTGCAAATGCTATTAGTTCATTCCTTTTTAATGGCTGCATAGCATTCCATTGTATATATATACCACAGTTTCTTTATTCACTCATTGATTGATGGGTGTTTGGGTTGGTTCCATGATTTTCCTATTATGAATTGTGCCATTAGAAACATGTGTGTGCAAGTATCTTTTTCAAATAATGACTTCTTTTCCTCTTGGTAGATACCCGGTAGTGGGACTGCTGGATCAAATGGTAGCTCTACTTTTAGTTATTTAAGGAATCTCCACACTGTTTTCCATAGTGGCTGTATTAGTTTACATTCCCAACAGCAGTGTAGAAGTATTCCCTGTTCACCGCATCCATGCCAACATCTGCTGTTTTTATTTGTTTTTTGTTTGTTTGTTTGTTTTGATTATGGCCATTCTTGCAGGAGTAAGGTGGTATCCATTGTGGTTTTGATTTGCATTTCCCTGATCATTAGTGACGTTTAGCATTTTTTCATGTTTGTTGGCCATTTATGTATCTTCTTTTGAGAGTTGTCTATTCATGTCCTTAGCCCACTTTTTTATGGTATTGTTTGTTTTCTTCTTACTGATTTGTTTGAGTTCATTGTAGATTCTGGATATTAGCTTTTTGTCAGATGTATAGATTGTGAAGATTTTCTCCCACTTTGTGGGTTGTCTGTTTACTCTGCTGACTGTTCCTTTTGCCATGCAAAAGCTCTTTCATTTAATTAGGTCCCAGCTATTTATCTTTGTTTTTATTGCATTTGCTTTTGGGTTCTTGGTCATGAAATCCTTGCCTCAGCCAACATCTAGAAGGGTTTTTCCAATGTTATCTTCTAGAATTTTTATAGTTTCAGGTCTTAGGTTTAAGTTCTTAATCCATCTTGAGCTGATTTTTGTATAGGGTGAGAGATGAGGAAGATCCAGTTTCTTCTCCTACATGTGGCTAGCCAATTATGCCAGCACCATTTGTTGAAAAGGGTGCCCTTTCTCCACTTTATGTTTTTGTTTGCTTTGTCAAAGATCAGTTGGCTGTAAAGTATTTGTGTTTATTTCCGGGTTCTCTATTTTGTTCCATTGGTCTATGTGCCTATTTTTATACCAGTACCATGTTGTTGTTTTAGTGACTATGGCCTTATAGTATAGTTTGAAATCAGGTAGTATGATGCCTCCAGATTTGTTCTTGTTTTTTTGTTTTGTTTTGTTCTGTCATTTGTTTTTTGTTTTTGAGATGGAGTTTCACTCTGTCACCCAGGCTGGAGTACAATGGTGCGATCTCTGATCACTGCAACCTACACCTCCTGGGTTCAAGCAATTCTCCTGCCTCAGTTTCCCAAGTAGCTGGGATTACAGGCGCCCGCCACCACGCCCAGCTAATTTTTGTATTTTTAGTAGTGATGGGGGTTTCGCCATGGTGGCCAGGCTGGTCTTGAACTTCTGACCTCTAGTGTTCCAACTGCCTCAGCCTCCCAAAGAGGTAGGATTACAGGCGTAAGCACCCAGCCCAGATTTGTTCTTTTTGCTTAGTGTTGCTTTGGCTGTGTGCGCTCTTATTTGGTTCTATATGAATTTTAGAATTGTTTTTTCTAATTCTGTGAAGAATGATGGTGGTATTTTGACAGAGATTGCATTGAATTTGCAGATTGCTTTTGGCAATATGGTCATTTCACAGTATTGATTCTATCCATCCATGAGCATGGGATGTGTTTCCATTTGTTTGTGTTGTGTATGATTTCTTTCAGCAGTGTTCTGTAGTTTTCCTTGTACAGGTCTTTCAACTCCTTGGTTAGGTATATTCCTAAGTTTTGTTTTGTTTTGTTGCAGCTATTGTAAAAGGGATTGAGTTCTTGATTTTATTCTCTGCTTGGTCACTGTTGGTGTATAGAAGAGCTACTGATGTGTGCACATTAATCCTGTATCTGGAAACTTTGCTGCTTTTTTTTCTTAGACGGAGTCTTACTCTGACGCCAGGCTGAAGTGCAGTGGCGCAATTTAGGTTCATGCAAACTCCGCATCCCAGGTTCAAGTGATTTTCCTGCCTTAGCCTCCTGAGCAGCTGGGACTACAGGCGCATGCCACCATGCCCAGCTAATTTTTACATTTTGGGTAGAGACAGGGTTTCACCATGTTGGCCAGGATGGTCTCAATCTCTTGACCTCATGATCCACCTGCCTCGGCCTCCCAAAGTGCTGGGATTACAGGCGTGAACCATCGCGCCAGGCCTTGCTGAATCCTTTTATCAGTTTTAGGAGCTTTCCAGAGGAGTCCTTAGGGTTTTCAAGGTATGATCATATCGTCAGCAAACAGTGACAGTTTGACTTCCTCTTCACCAATTTGGATACCCTTTATTTCTGTTTTCTGATTGCTCTGGCCAGGACTTCCAGTACTATGTTGAAGAGAAGTGGTGAGAGTGGGCATTCTTGTTTTGTTCCAGTTCTCAGAGGGAATGCTTTCAACACTTCCCCATTCAGTATTATGCTGGCTATTGGTTTGTCACAATGGCTTTTATTACATTAAAGTATGTCCCTTGTACGGGCGATTTTGCTGAGAGTTTTTTGTTTGTTTGTTTGATAGGGAATCTCGCACTGTCACCTGTGCTGGAGTGCAATG